TACGATTCCTGCGTTACCCTGTAAAATTAAAGGCATAGTTTGTACATGTATTTTCTGAACTCTTTGCTGAGAGTGCAAAGGAAAAAATATGGAGTTAAAATTAAAAGCAAATTTGAGAAGGTAGATCTCAAATGTCATTTTGCAGAGTCTTTCTCGAACTAGTAAACAATTAACCTCAAATAACTTTTGAACTATTCCCTTTTAACGAGAAATTTTGCAACATAGAGTGTCGCGAAAGGAGAGTGACTTTTTATATAAAAGAATTTGAAACAAACTTCGGGAATCTACCAAACTTGAATGTCGCCCAATATTGCTCTCCCAAAATTGTGAAATTGTGTTTTTTGCATTAGGAAGAAAATATGCACAATATTTAACCTCTACAACTGGCATGCAAACAAGACAAACAAATGCCTATAAAACGTGAAAATTTTATTAAGCTACAATGTATAGCCGTGCTCTGGAGGGGGGGAAAATGAAACATTTTTCGTATTTTTATTATTATTAAATTCTACGGTCTTGTGTTTTTGTGGATGACAGCCGAACATTAAAATCAAGAAAACGTTTGGGATAGTCTATTTCCGTTTTTTGATTGATTAAAAGTGCTGTAGAATTTATCAACGGATCTTTAACATTACTTTCCGATGTTGCTACTTCTTTAAACGTTTGTTCATGCAATTTTGTTTAGAAGTTTCAGCCAGATCATTGATCTAATTTATGAATACTCGACAAGGACCTTGTTGATTAATTATGATGCTACAAGTACAGCTTAGGCAGGCTGATCCTAGCAATTTGTCCACCAAAAATTTCTTCTGTGCAAACAATAAGCACAGAGCTTATTTTCAGAGTTAGCAGTATTTTTGACTGAGGTCTGATAACGTTAGCTTCATAAAATAAACCCTGTGTTTACATTTTTGGATAAAGCTTTTCCTAGGGGACTCTTGCACGTGGCAAGCACATGAAGATTTCTCTTTCAAAATATCAATCAGCAAGCCAAGGTTACTTGATATTCCTTTTTTGCA